AATAAATCTGCAAAAATGTCAACGATTCTGTGTTTTTCTGTCAATATGGGTTGCTGTGTGTACATTAATGAGGAAAAAAAATTAACTTAAATGATTTTAGCAAATGGCTGCAATATATCAAAGAGTGAAAAATTTAAGGGGGTCTGAATACTTTCCGTACCCACTGTATATATATATATATATGTATATCACAGTCTTGTTCTTACTTAGTCTTGGACTAAAATATCTAAACATCTTATCTTTTTTAAAATATATAAAAAAAATTCTAAAAAATATATATAATTTTTTTTTAAAAAATGATAAAATAATTACAAAGTTATATAAAATGATTTTGAAACTCTACATCTTCAAAATGAACACACTGTGATTTTTCAGCAAACTGATTCTTAATTGTACAATAATATGGGATTTTGTATATGCAGGTTATGTTTATTGTAAATAAAACAATAATAATTAGATTCATTTGAAGGAATTTACCATTAATAAAGATGCTGCATCCATTGCGTCAGACATGTTTTCTCACTGACACGCCCCAATTCTCGGTTTCCCAGTTGTAATTACGACTTTGTGGTGGCGTTCATGTGCGTTGAGCTCGTAAATACAATCTTTCTGACATGACTTGAAAGCACCTTATTCTATTGTCTTGATGTGTTGTGTAGCACCACCCACTGTGAAATTTCATTGGTCCAAAGTCCCACATTCAGTACTTTGAGTAGAGACAGAACACTTAAAGGGGTCATATGATGCTGCTAAAAAGAACATTATTTTGTGTATTTGGTGTAATGAAATGTTTATGTGGTTTAAAGTTAAAAAAACACATTATTTTCCACATACTGTACATTATTGTTTCTCCTCTATGCCCCGCCTTTTTGAAACACGTAGATTTTTACAAAGCTCATCGGTCTGAAAAAGCGAGGTGTGCTGTGATTGGCTAGCTATCCAGTGCGTTGTGATTGGCCGAATACCTCAAGCGTGAGACGGAAATGTTACGCCCCTCACCATACTGTTGTATTCCCTCAGCGACCAGCACGGATCAGCTCTAGGCATGATGAAGCGGATATCGTCCTCTTTTGGAAGACCAAACAAAGTAGTTTCGCTTTCACAACGAAGCACACAGCGTCTTCAGGATATGGCGGCGGCAACAATACTACAGTGAGAATAAAAGTTATGCCTTCTTTCTTTGCGTGAACATTTGGGCGGCGTTATGCAAATCTTCCCACAGAGCGACGTAGATATGTGGGGGCGTGTTAGAACGAGCCGTTTTAGGTAGGTGTGGCTGACTCTTAACTTTTATAAAGAATATAAAAGTTACTCAGAGCTAATTTTCCCACACCTGAACAGGCCTGTAAACAAGGCAGAAACATCTCAAGTTATGCTGCCTGAGAGATGGGAAACTGCATTCAGCTTGCCATTCGTCAGGATGAGTAATGTTCCTATGCGAAAATTTATGAAACACAAGTAGCATTCATTTCTATGTGGAATGTTTGTAAAAACTAGGGCTTGTCAATCGATTAAACATTCAAATCAAATTAATTACGAAATACACAGATTAATTAACTGAATTAATCACAATATATGCTGAAACATTTAAAGCCATTGTGACAAACATAATAGATTTAGAAGTCATGTACAGAGTTACATGATATTATGTTGCTCTATATGCACAAGCGTGAGATGGATCTATTTGGTCACCAGTTATTTAGTGAGACAAACATCAAGTTTGGGATCATACTGTTTTCTTTCTGAAGTCTCTTATTCTCAACAAGTCTGCATTTTTTTTTTAAATACAGTAAAAATAGCAATATTGCGAATTATTATCACAATTTAAAATGAAGCATGTTTCATTCTGTTTTCTACCTTAATATATTTTAAAATGTAATTCATTGCTGTGATGCAAAGCTAAATTTTCAACATCATTACTCGAGTCTTCAGTGTCACAAGATCCTTCAGAAATCATTCTGATATGCTGATTTGCCGCTCAAGTCACATTTCTTGTTATCAATGTTGTTAATCACAGTTGTGCAGCTTAATGTTTTTGTGTAAAGAACAGCATTTGTTTAAAAGTGAATTATTAAAAATGAAGCCTTTAGTGTCACTTTAGATCAATTTAATGCATTCATGCTAAATAAAGTTTTAATTTCTTAAAAGAAGACCTCAAATTGTTCAGAAGGTAGAAAATACTTTCTTACAGATTTTACATATGTGTCAGAGGTCATGATTTTACAGCATTAATAGTTTTATAGTCTTATTTAGGCCTATTTTTAATTTAACTGCACTAACTCATTAAACTATAGTGAAATCCATTATTTAAAAAAAATCCATAGTAAAATCCATAATTTTCCATTAATCCATTACGTAAATCATTGCACTGAACTGAAATAAGTCATTAACACAAAACTGATTCCACAAATTATTTACACAGAAATTTGCTCTGCTTGTATTTCACAACTTTTATTTTCAACTTTTGCTGCTTTTATCCACATGATTAGTAGAGCGAACAGGAAACGATAAGGAGATGAGGGAAAAGAATCAAGAAATTACGCAAACTTGCACCACCTGCAGGAGCATCACAGTGCAACGTATCAGAAGTGTGGCCTACTGATTTAGCACAAGCATTATGCTGTGGTGCCCATGCAGATGATGCTAGCTTGCGTCCGGCTAGCATTCAGGGATAATGTTTATGAATTTACTGTGCATTGCTCACCATCTTACCTCCAGCTCGCCAGCAGGTTTCTTTTTGAGCTCTTCGCACTTGCGGAATTTGCAGATCTGATGGCCGGTTTTGCGGTTGCGGCAGCTGCTGCATTGTTCGCAGTTAATCCTGCGCCGGCAAGGTGGACACAGGCCGCATCGCTTCCGCTTTTTCTTCCCGTTGGCACTGATGGCCGATGAAATCTCGCTCTGCATCTGCTGGTGTTCCGACGCACCCGTCACGTGAGAGAGCGCCCCGTCGGCGAGGAACACTCCTGCCGGCGTCATTATGAACAGCCCCGGGTGATACGGAAAACTCCCACCCACTCCGCCGTTGCCAAGCAATGGGAAGTCCATCACACTGCCCAGCGAATCAGAAGCCGAGACCGTCTCCATGTCCCCGCCCACACTGACATTGGACGGGTCACTGACAGGAAGCAGCATCCCCGCCCGTCGCAGGAGCTCGGCGGCCTGGGCGAGATGCAGGCCGCTCGGAGAGTCCAGAAGGCCGGATACTAACGCACCCCGGTCCAGTTTGGCATACCCGACTTGTGACCTGTGCTGGCTGGCAGTAGGGTGAGCTTTGACGCCCGCCGCCACCATAGAGCTCTGGGCAAGTCTGTTAGCATTCGCGACACTGGCCACAGCGGCGGCCGAGCAGGTCGCGATGTACTGCGAGAGAGCTCGTGAGTGCTTTAGGCTTTTGCTGAGTGGAGCGCTGATGATACCGCTGCGGTTTCTCCGTTCCACCACCGGGGATGAGTCTTCGTCCCCACAGCAGCTGTCCTGCGCCTCCTCATCCTCTATGGCTCGACTTCCCTCCATGGACCCTCCGCTGGCAGACATGGGCCACGGCGTGAGGGGGAGGGAGAGGGAGATGAGGGAGCTTAGGATGAGCAGGGGATAGAGTTGCAACGTTCCTACGAAGACCGAAGCCAAGATGAGATTGACGCGTGCACAGCAGGAGAATCAGACCACTGAAGCGGCAGTCCACACTAGTTGAGCCTCGAGAACATCTCACGGGTCTGTTCACTAAGGCCTGAGGATCCTAGAAAGGGAAGATAATGCACAGTGAGGTTAAAGCCAGAGTGGTTTGAATAAATGTATGGTACATGCAAAGAGGAATAATTCAGATTTTTCTTATGCTCACCAAGGCTGCATTTATTTGATCAAAATAGAGCAGTGAAAACACTGAAATATTGTTACAATTTAAAAAAAAACTGTTTTCTATTTTAATATATTTTAAAATGTTATTTATTTCTGTGATGCAAAGCTGAAATTTCAGTTCTCAGTGTTACAGACATGATTCTGATTGGGTGCTCAATTATTATTTTTGCCAAATTATTATTAACGGGTCTTAATATTATCATTGTTGAAAACTATTTTCCTGCTCATTTTTTTCTGAATCTTTTGATTAATAAAATGTTCAAAAGAACAACATTTACTTGAAATACGAATCTTCTGTTATTTTTAATCTTATCAACCACAATCTTTTGAATGGTAGTTTATTACAGTTTCCACAAAAATAATAAGCAGCAACTGTTTTCAGAAATATTTCTTGGCTATCAAATCAGCATATTAGAACAATTTCTGAAGGATTGTGTGACACTGAAGACTGGAGTAATGATGCTGAAAATTCAGCTTTGCTATCACAGAATAAATTGCATTTTAAAATATACTAAAATAGAAAACAGTTCTTATGAATTGTAATAATATTTAAAATATTACTGTTTTACAGTATTTTTGATTAAATAAATTCAGCTTTGGTAAGCATAGGAGACTACTTTAAAAAATAAATTAGGTTCCACTTTATTTTAAGGTGTCCTTGTTACACTATTTATACATTTAAGTACTGAGTAATATTTATTAACTACATGTACTTACTATATGGTTAGGGTTAAGATTAGGGTTTGATTTAGGGTTACTTACATGTAATTATGCATAATTAATTGTTATTATAATAGTAAGTACATGTAACATGTAACAAGGACACCTTAAAATAAAGTGTTACCAAAAATTATTCCAAACTTTTAATCAGTAGTGTATATCCAAACCTAAAGAACATGGAGAACACGTTACGTCAGCCTCACCTGTCAACCGCAAAATGAATTATCTGTGTGATTCCTCACGGCACAGCATCACACTTCATCCTTAACTGCTAAAAACCATTTTAACGTATCTAATTCTTCCGAAATAATCATGCCTATAAACAAATCGCATTTTATTTGTTTATTGTTTTGCCCTGCCGAAATAGGCGCAAGTTCATGGTGACAAATAATCTACTGCTCGCTGTGGCCTCATCCGACCCATTTTGATTCCTTAGCCAACATTTATGTTTCAGACATAATATCTGTCCTAGATATCTGATTTAGTGACAATTACACTTTGTTCGGTGTTCTTCCAAGGAACTGAAACTGACTGTGAAGCTCATGGCAAAAAAAGAAAAGATTTTGTGTGGATATTAAATTGGACGGTTTGAGTCTGTTAAATTGTTATATTTCATAACCTTTACGTGCAAAAGCCCGTTCCTTGTGACAGCAATTCCCCTTCAGTGAGAGACCTCTATCAGGGTCCACAGGCAGTCTGTTCTATCACGAAACCGGAATCGTGAGCTCAAGCGCAAAGCCCCTGGGGTGAGCCGACAGTGAAATCAGGATGTCTAGGTGCAAGCTCAGCCGCACTGACGCACGTACACACGCTCGTCAACGACTTAACATTTCAATTAACTGCCAAGCCACAGTAAATCATGCTATTGGTAATAATTAGAGAAAAAAAAATAGTTTAGGTTGTGAGTGACTGCCTATGAAGATGTGGTAACTGGCCATTCATTCATACAAACATGCATGCATGAATGAATGAATGAATGAATGATGCATGTAAGGGAGAGTTGAGCTGGTTGTCACACAGGGAAGTTGTCTCAGTAACTATAAGGTGTTAGATGTTGGTTTCAAATATCTAGTTCAAAATATTTTCATAAAAAATGGGTTGGGGTAAGTTGTCACATGTTTTAAATGGTATAACATAGCAATGTTGGCTAAACAATGGTTTAATACTACTGTACATTTCAATTTTGATGTTTCATTAATTTTGGATTCATAACTGTTTTACTGTGTGACTTTTGTTATTTAATGGCAGATTTCATTGTGACAACCTACCCCATAGTGTGACAACATGCCCCACTAAAGGAGCATGCTGTCACAATAGGTCAACATGTGATAATATCAGCTAACAACAGAGGAAACTTAGCCAGTAATAAAGACTATAAAGTTTGTGTCTATTCAAAAATAAACCTATTCAACATAGTGATAACTAGCCCTGGTCATTCCTTTAGGCTATTTCTTACTAATCTAAAACAAATTCCAATAATTGGTGAATCCTATTGTCTAAAGGTTGATTCAGTCATATTAAATAATATATCTGACCTGATTAAAACCATATGAGGCAGACTTTTACTGTAAATTACCTGCCAAAACACTTCTACAGAGCACTCTATCAGTTAGCAAAACACATGACCATATCAATTACGATTACATCACATCCACATCAAGGAGTCATTATGGGAATAAAAACTTACTGCAGACAGGTAGCCCTCATCTGCAGGTAAACCAAGACAAAAGCTGCATCTACTGAGGGTTTCAGTAAATTATTGACCCAGCTAACAGATAAATACGTTCTTAGCAACAGTTAAAATGTCCATTCAGCAATTGCCTGATGTCAAATGCATGTCAAACATATGAGGCTCACATGCACATGGAAATTGTTGTGTCCAGTATTGCGCGAGCCAGAGGGACAATAGCGCGACATAGAGAGATCTGGACATCACCAGGGAACAATAGCCAAACCTGCACAAATAGCCCAACTGTGGCTAAATAAGATGACCTGCTTATCAAGATCTACATGTTCTGTCAAACAATCACCTCAATGAAACCCTTACTAGATCAATCCCAAACACAGACCTGGATTAACTGCATATATTCAGGTTAGATTATTTAAAGAATATGAATGCAAATGCGCACCACACACAAAAAGTTTGCATGTAACTCATAATGGATTAATAATAAACAGCACATATAACTTGCATTCATACTTACCTCTCTCCAAGAGGAATTCTGAATAATTCAGACATTCCCGCTCGGTAAATCCCTCATCTTTGAATCCAGACAACCAATAAAAACAGAAAATGTCACAATAGTATGTTTACGGTGACCACGGTACAGCTAAACAACAAACAAACAGGCTACCCGTAAATGCAACTATTCCGTGCGCCTATTTGGTTACGCGTGGCAAAGTTGCACCAATGCATCTAATGCATATGGGCAAATTGTCAAGCAGATGTAACGCCGATCATTTAGAAAGTAAAACAAAATCCCTTTTGTCTCATCTCGGTCGATGTGTCTATGGTGACAGCGCGCGGTATGCGCCAACACGTCGCGTTGGTTAAGCACATTCCCTTGTTATTTCACTGCCAACTTATTCGTCTTGGCTGGATGTCATTGTAACTTTGAACAGTCCTCAACAAAGTCTCATTGCCCTCCCTTTGATAAACATAGGGTATCTGCATATTTGCAAACACAGGCGTCTTTTCATTCGCGCCGCTCGTGAGCCGAGGGGAGCGTTCCGACTGTCCGAGCGGTCCGGTGCTCTCACGCGCTGCGGAGATTTATATAAAAGAGAGAGAGAGAGAGAGAATAAAAGGTAAAAGAGCCAAACGAAAGCAAATGCTCACCCGAACTGAATTCGTCTCGCTGTTTCCTTCAATAAAGCCCAAACACCGGCAGATACACGCAGAACGCACTTTGTCCGAGAGCGAGCGCGTGCGCTCCTCCAGCCTCTCGCGTCTCTCTATCCCACCTCCACATCCTCGCGCCCGGAGAAGAACATGCAAACACATTTCATAGATTTTTGGAGCTTCACACAAAAACCGAAGTGGACTTTCCGTCGGGGAAAAAATAAATAAACCTTAAAGAGGTGTGGATGAGCGCGATGTTCTGTCTGCGGTGAGGCTGTCTGTCTCTCTGTGCATATGAGAGCGGAATAATGAATGAAGTATAGTTTTGAGAGGGCTGGACACTCAGCCCATTGTTGACTCCATTCTTAATGGCTGTTGGCTGCGCTCGGGATTGATTTATTATATCAGAACTTTTGCACATTTACGCTTTCCAGGAACTTGGGGCTGATTGATATTTTAATATGCAAAACACGGCTCCACCAATCACTCATCTGAAATATAACCCTGTTGGCTGCTCTGTTAATGAAAATAACATGCAAATTGTAAATAATAATTGCACGTTCATGAAAACTAAATAATAATAACAATAATAAAACAATTATTCCTATTATTATTGGTGTATTTTTGCAATTTGCTATTGTTTGTGGCATATTTGATATAAAACTGAATATTTAATCCGTATTAGGCTATTAATAATTTATGCATTAATTATTAAATCTACATACATTCGTTTTTAGTAATCTTTTATTTTAATGTTATTAATGTATTTTTATGAATGCGTTTAAAATCGACACACTGTATTAGTAATTGTTTATTTTACTTAGTTTTATTATATTAATATTCACTTTTGATTAACTGTTTTATAACTAATGAATATCAAATTAATTTATTAATGTAATTAATAGGAGCAGCTACCCATATTGTTTATAGATTAAGTATAGTTTTAAATGAATTATTTGAATTAATAATAGCTTACTTAATAGTTCATTTATTAATGTATTTAATATGAGTGCCCATAAACTACCCCTAAAAATACATTAATTTCAGTTTCTCTAACAGTCAGCATATAAAGAGTCATTAATCTTTGTGAAGAAATCAAAGGGACTGGACTCTTTACCACAGTCGTCGTGTTTCTCTGTGTTTGATGACTTTCTGTGACCGAGGAGCCGTTGTGCTGTGGGTCCATTTGTCCGTCAGTCCAGTCGCTCGCAGACGCTCCTCCTCGTCGCCTGGAGTCCACTCCACCTCTTGTGAGCGTCCTGTGTGTCTGGCAGGCGGCCAGCTGAAGTGTGGGGAAGTGACACCGCCAGGGCGGCAGAAATTTTCCTCCGTTTCGGGCTTCTTCCCAGTCGCAGACGGGCGAGCGTGCATTGGCTGGAAAGTGGAGCAGCTCGTCAGGGACGATCAATGCGGATCGATCAGCGCGGCGCTGCTGCTGGCTGTGGGTTTGAGGGGGCTGCGTGTTACAGTCCTCCACAATTGCATTAACGGGAAAGTTTAGGCTTGAGTAAAGTGACACTACTTTACGGCTTTACTTCCCATAATGTTTTGTTTTCTTTCATTTATCTGTATTCACAAAAGGCTAAACTCTATTCTAAGCGTATGGGATAAAGTTTTCACTTACAAGACGTTGTGTAGGCTAGGCTATACCATGGTAGTACTGTGAACAGATTAATATACAATGGTATTTAGGCTACATGTCTCTTCAAGGCACTTCAGAAATAGGCCTACCATCATGGTTGTGTCCAAAAATATCGTGATATGGGACTTAGAAATATACTATGATTATTCATATATGTCATGGTATTTACATCACAAAAATATACTAAAAAGTATCATGGTAATGCTACTAACATTTTTTGTACACATACATGGTTGTGCTCAAATGTAGCCTATGGTTGTATCCGTATTCCATTTAAATACTTTTAAGAAATACCACGGTAGTTTTCTAAAACATGGTATCATATCATATGTATATTGCTATATTAATATACAATATTGTTTAAAACACCTACAAAACAGTACCATGGTACTACCATGTTTTTGGACATTCACCATGGTAATACCATTGTATTCTTGGAAGTATAATAGCCCTACAGCTCTTGGAACTCATACTACAACTGTACCATGGTACAGCCACAGTACTTTTTTGTAAGGAATGGCACTCAATAGTATATATTTCAACGAATACCATGGTATTACATCACAGTTGTATCCAAAAACATGGTACTTAGGTAATTTGTACATGAATAGCATATTCACATATCATATATACAAGGCACTTGAAAGTACCTCAAATGTTTTATATAATTAATACATGCATTATAATTTATTATCATTTACAAATATAACTTCTTATATAATTAATATATATATATATATATATATTAAGATGCAAGAAAAAATGAATAGATTTATGCAATAATATTTATACATAAATATATAATAGGCTATATATGAATAAAAAATGATAAACTATAATATACTTATAATCATACTTTTTAAATAAATATATCAATATTATTGTTTTTCTTGTTTTTTCTTTAGCATTTTGTACCAATCAATGTGAAAGTGGACTATTCAGAGAACTATTCCAGGATGCTTGACTTGAACCAGGTTTGTTTGTGAGCTCATTGATCAGACCTTTGGATCCTGAGTTGCATCATACCCTGAGTTCACCCTGGAGGACGTTCCTGTAGTATTGAGCTGGTATATCACTGGAGCACGATGAGACGTCCCTGCTATGTGACAGATAACAGATCATCTCCAAACGAAGCCACATGATAGATCATTAAATTGGGCAAATAAATAAACAAACACTTGCCTATCCTTGTGGCCACATAATTCCCAGATAACTTTGAGACCTCAGCCCCCCTCCTCTCTGAGCTGGGGGGGATTGTGTGGTGGTGAGTGGGAAGAGGGGGGTGGATGAGGACGTTGGATTAACGTCACATGGTTCTCTCTGGCAGCCAGACACATGACCCGCTCCACAGGAGGGGATAAAACCCACTTGAAAGACGACGGCATAGAGACCGAGGGAGAGGAGAAGGGAAATAAAAGAGAAAGAGATGGAGCAAACGTCCGGTTTTCTCAGACACTGAGGAATGCTGTCGGCCTGCTTCTCGAACACAGAAATTACCTGTGGTTTTGGGCACCATGTTGTCAGAGCTTCCTGTTCTTCAATGACTAATATCTCCAGCCCCCCATCCACATACTATTTCAAAAATATTTATTAGACAAGGAATAACCTACAGACTGTTAATAGTCTTGTTATTGGTCTCTCTTTCACAAGCAATTTCTTTTTTAGAGATTGGTTTAGAGACTTTACTCGTCCCATGCCAATTGTGCTTCGGAGATGAATTATAGCTAAAATTGTGCGCGTATTTCAAGAGAGTTATGCTGGTGTTTTTCTAAGCAATTAGACATGCAATTTTCACATAGCAGATGATAAAATGGTGAAAATTTTGTAGATTTACATTGAAATAGGCACCGGAATTCGGCAAAAATATATCTCACTGATTACCATCCTTAATAATCGTAACAAACAGGTTTCTGTAATACGGCCCTAGAACTGTCAAAATGTAAGACTTAAAGGGGTCATATGATGCCCATTTTCCACAAGTTGATATGATTCTTTAGGGTCTTAATGAAAAGTCTGTAACATAGTTTGGTTAAAATTTCTCAATGGTAGTGTAAAAACACCTTTTTTACCCTGTCAAAAACAGCTCTTTTCAGATCAAGCCGTTTTTGTAGCATTTCCCTTTAAATGTTAATGAGCTCTGCTGACCCCACCCCTCTCTTCTGAGCCACTCTCAGAGAGACTGTTTACTTTAGCCGCATTCATCGTGAAACTTGCTAATTAGCACATTATTAGGAAAGGCGATTTGCAAAGATTCATTACAAAACATTATACTCACTTCTTCTGTAGATGAGGCTGGATCATGAATGATTCGCGTGAACATAGACAGATCGGGGGAGCATTCCCTTCAGAAACAAACGAAATACACTGCCAGTTCAGCGGCTCAGATGTCAGGAGTAAATGACGACTGCTATGTTTGTTTTGATCACCTAGCAACACCCTAGCAACCACCCACAACATGATATCAACAACTTAAAACACTGTATCAACCCCATTTCAGTACTTTAGGATCACTGTGCCGAGTTTTGTAACAAAAAAAAAACTTTTTACTTGGCGTGCATAAATACATTAATACTAGTATAGGTGCCAATCACACAGAATGCATGTGTATTTTTATTTATATATTAATTATTTTTAAATTATTTTCCACATACTGTATATTATTGTTTCTCCTCTATGCCCCGCGCGTTTCGTCCGGACGGATCCGACGTTTTGGGAACCTGAAACTGCTATTTTTTTATACCAGGTCCCAGAGTGGGTAAACTGAATACGACACCCATGCGTTTTTTTGTGTACAGCCAATCTGTATATTTTGTGCAACAATTATGTCATCACCCCACGTCTGCAAGGTTTATGCACATGCTCCAAGTCTTTAAGCTGTCATATGGTCATGTTACAATGTGCTCCTCAGATGTTACAATGTACCCCACCTATGGGGCATGTTGTCACATCTCACTTCCATTCTTTTGGGGTAAATAAAAAAAAAAGTCCTGAAACTGCTATTTTTTTATACCAGGTCCCAGAGTGGGTAAACTGAATACGACACCCATGCGTTTTTTTGTGTACAGCCAATCTGTATATTTTGTGCAACAATTATGTCATCACCCCACGTCTGCAAGGTTTATGCACATGCTCCAAGTCTTTAAGCTGTCATATGGTCATGTTACAATGTGCTCCTCAGATGTTACAATGTACCCCACCTATGGGGCATGTTGTCACATTTCACTTCCATTTTTTGAGGGTAAATAAAGAAAAATTTATACACCGTAATTATGAAACAAAGTGACGTATTTGTACTAGACAAGTGTAAAAATACTGTGGACAAAAAAATTATACTCTGAACCCCATGTGGATTTACACAAACTAAGAAAGTCAAAAAGTGTTACATTGTGCCCTGCTCTCCCCTATTTCTTGAGATGACGCCGTGTTTACGGATTTTTTTTTAGAACAAAGAAAAAAAGATCGGATAGGGAAAGCTCTGGCTTCATGTGGATGAGTCAAGAAGGCCCTTTACCAATAGTGAAACATCGCTTACTCAGGTCACTTATAAACCAGTCAGCTTTAAAGGGGTCATATGATGTTGCTAAAAAGAACATTATTTTGTGTATTTGGTGTAATGAAATGTGTTTATGTAATAAATTCACTAACGTGACCGCACCTCTACACTGTAGAAAGTAAATGCACAGCACTTTTAAGCTACATAAAACAGCTAAATATAAAACATATCAACATAAACCCACTAAATAACAGTTCGTGGGTATATATACTTTAGAACTGACTATAAATATTTAAAAAACACCGAATAACTTCTTAGTAAACATGCAAGATTGGGGTGTCCAGCATTTAAAAACCAATATATGTATAAACCTCACTTCCTGCAGAGCCAAAGAGGTGACGCTGCCTCAAAATCCCTTCAAAACAAACTCAAGAACATTGAACTGATATAGTGGCTCTATCTGGTGGCTATAAGCGGAACAGCAGCAGGACGATCTCTGATTTCCTGTGTTTTGCAGCAGAACAGGAAGCTAACGTGACCGCACCTCTACACTGTAGAAAGTAAATGCATAGCACTTTTAAGCTACATAAAACAGCTAAATATAAAACATATCAACATAAACCCACTAACTAACAGTTCGTGGGTATATATACTTTAGAACTGACTATAAATATTTAAAAAACACCGAATAACTTCTTAGTAAACATGGAAGATTGGGGTGTCCAGCATTTAAAAACCAATATATGTATAAACCTCACTTTCTGCAGAGCCAAAGAGGTGACGCTGCCTCAAAATCCCTTCAAAACAAACTCAAGAGCATTGAACTGATATAGTGGCTCTATCTGGTGGCTATAAGCGGAACAGCAGCAGGACGATCTCTGATTTCCTGTGTTTTGCAGCAGAACAGGAAGTAGAACACATTATCTCCCACATCCTCTTTTAAAGATCTGGCTGTTATAACCCTGCTTACTGAAAATAGAGCGTGAAAACCCAACCCTGACAAAATGACACAAGGGTGAACATTTCAAATTACATTTATTCAAAATGTACATCTTCATCGTACAGCAAAATACACATGGTCTCCGAATTACACATCATGATAGAAATTATATTTCTATGCTGTTTTTAAATGGAACCTGGTTTAGTTTTACACCTAATATAGTAAAAAACTACACAAATGTTCAAGTCATAATTACCAAAATGTTCATCAAACTGTGCGTAGTAGTTCTGACCCCCTCTCATCCACATTCGTCTGCATTGTAGTGCCAAGTTATTTTTGAGTACATTTAAAGCACATTTAAATGATATGGTTTGTGTTAGAGGCAGAGAGGAAGACCAAGTGTAAAACTGCATGTTTACAGGAAATACAGTATGTTTGCTGATGCATGTCTGCAGTGCTACAGGAAGCCCTGGTGTGAATGAGACGCATTAACATTGAGAATTACAGTAATTGTAATATTAAATCCTCATCCAGTGCCTCTCATCGCCAGTGGATGGAAAACACTGATGCAAACACACACACTCACTGAGTATTTAGGGGGTTTTCTTCTTAATGATCAGAGGTCCGACATTATCACCAGTTTCCTCATTGTGTTTGGTGTGTGTGCCGTCACAGTATGGAAACTGTCCAGGGAACAAACAAATACATACAATTCACAACCACACATGATGATCATTCAGAGAGTGTGATGGCGTATCTGTACGCTTCCTGCGGTTTTAATGTTTAAACTTTGCATTGGTACGTCTGCAGGAAGCTCTTCTAGATCACTATGGTGCTTCAGGATATGACAAACAGTGACATGAGGGTGCATAAATGAGAGAAATAACAATTCTGGGGGAATTATACCATTAACCCTGTAAAGCCTGACATATGGAATAATGGCCAAAAAATAAATAAATCACCATTTTTAAATGGAACAGTGTATTGAACCTTTAGAGAAAAGTCTGCATATGTATTTTTTTGTTGTTGAATATCATATTTGATACATCAGGATTTTGTATGGCTAATATAATATGATATAATGAGATTATGGAGCTCACACTTGAGGAAGAAGGAAAAAAACACCTCCATGTTATTCAGAAGTTCTAACTGCAAAAAAATTATTTTCTTCCTTATTATTTTTGTCTTACTTTCCAATCTTAAATGAAGATACAATTAAGAAGCAAAATTACACACGTGAACATGTTACAAAACATTGTTTTTTGAAAATGTTATCAAAATTAAGTGACTTTACGCATAAAACAAGACAATCAGTCTGCCAACGGGGTTAGGAAAATAAACTTGTTTTTTCTTTGAATTAAGTTTATTTGTCTTGGCAGACATTCTTTTCTTGTTTTAAGCATAAACTAAATTTTAATCAATTTTTCAATGTTATATCTATGCAAGAAGAAATATCTTTGTATATCTTTTTTACGATAAAATTAAGCAAAAACATGCATTTTGGTGAAGATGTTATTTATATGGCTAAAAAGTAACTAACTTTTATGTAAAACAATTATTTTTTTTCATAAAAGTATAACAGACTACTTACATAAAATGCTTATAAATATCATTTGTCACTCCTAATAATATGTCTTAGTAAGATGATATTTAAATGCTTAATTTTATGATCAAACACTGTAGTTTTTAATTGTGGGGCAAAACATGTAATCAAATGCAATACAATGACGATTAAGAGATGAACAAATAAACGTTCCTCAAAAGCCTGATATTTGATATTCATATTTTAACATGATTATTAATTGTTTTAGTCCATCAGACGTTCATCTTGAAATATTTCTAACAATATAAAAGCTATATTGATATATTAAATATTTCACAGCAAAAAGAAACGTGTAAAACATCCTGAAGGGGGGTGTTTTAAAATGATACCAAAAGGCCTTTTACTTGCTAAATACGTACAAATTAACATTCAGACAGAAGACATGTACAAGATTGTTTATAACAGGCTTTTCAGTTTTCAGTTTCAGTAAAGTTTTAATCTTGTTAATAATTTAGAGGCCTTAAAATTCATGTATCAAATTTTTAAAAATGGTTCATACAGATGATCTCCAAACAGGCCATTGGGATGAAGAATAGCCACACCATCCTATTAATATGAACTCAGACACGTGATCCACTGAGTTTTCACTCACCTTCTTGGACCTCCAGCAGCGGCAGTAGACGGCCTTGTTGCCGATGTCCTCCATGTCGAAGCTGTGCACTACTTTGGGGCTGTCTTTGTTGACTGACATGTTGACCCTGCTTTCGGGGCTGCTCTGTGAACTGAAGTAGCGTGTCAGCAGGTAGGTGCTCAGAGCCGCGGCCACTGCAACGGGAACGATGGTGATCAGCTGATCTGTAAATGTACACATGAGGAGGCGCTCGTTTTTGACAGGGCCGTTAGCTTCCTGCACACTAATCTATGAGAATTGCTATTTTCTAGAAAATATTTAGTTTAATCTTTGGGTCAAGCCCAGCCATGTTGAAACTCGATTTTGGACATGATAACCTAGGTGGTTATTAAATTCCTTTTGTTTTTCTATCTAACTCCCTTTTGGAATTTTTCTCAATTCCATTTTAATGGATAATATATATGTTAGTAATCAAAAAGCATTTCTAACTATTTGAAATTATGAAATGTAAACAAATTTAACAAAAATGGCCCCATGGAATCTATTTTTTTCTTCCAAATTCTGTTTTATTTTTCCCAAATTCCATGCTTCCTGTTTTCTGTTTTTCAGTAGGCTAATTTCTTGAAAATTTTTAAGTAATAGTGCTTTTCATATATGAACTTGAAAATGGGCAAAGCACTTAGGTTCATTTCCAAGTTCAGAGAAAAGTAACCTTGCATTTGACATCGATAAAAAGTCCTATTAAGGACAAAAAACATAATTGTTAAAACATTTCACAATATCCACTTGCCCAAAACCATACTTCATAATTTTTCCCCCCACAACAGTTAGTGTTTCCAAATGTTATTTGTAACAATAAAGGCTTTGTTTAATAAAATACATTTGTTAAAATGTCTTTAAAAAAACATGATTCATCCATTATGTGTCATTTGGAAATTGTGCCTTTATGAAAAATTACAATGTAAATTTGGTCCTCCACACCTGGAGAAAAAAACTTACACTGTTATAACTATAACTAATAGTAACGTCATTTCGACAGTGGCTCTCATGCAGCTTATATTAAGCAATTATTTCACAGGTCTGAATACCGCATTACCTCAGCATTAGAAATAAGTGAATCTTCAACTCAGAAAATAAATCTGAATACTAGTTTGTGGTCATATTCTAATTTCCCTGGTTCCAAATCATTTATTCAAACCTATGATTTTCTATCTTCAGTATCACTCATTTATATATTTCTATTTCATACAGCCTGATCCAATAGCGCCATTTAATTTCTATATTATTATAAGAAAATCGACATGAATTTAAATTTCACTGAAACACACCCGGTAGTTATTAATTAACAGCTATACAACCAAAGCAATACTGCCCTTTGGAACAAACTACTTTAGACAAAATAACTTTACAATTTGATATCAGAAAACCAACAAACTCAGTGTCCAAACAACAGAAACACAGTCTAGTCTACAGCCTTTAAATCAAATCAATGATTTGCAAATAAATATTACATGATCTGTAGCACACATTATGCTTATACAGCTTTAAATGCACTATAAAACACATGCAGTACAGAATAAAAGTGTTTATTGACATTATGGGGTGTATTTATGTGTCTGGTCTTCAGTGTCATGTGAGCTAAACCCATGAAACTTAATCAGCACTAAAATATAGTCACGACATACTGTATGTCAACACAGATACAGACTGGCTAAATCCAAAGAGTCTTTCATCTCAGACTGTAAATCCTGGTCAGGTGAGAAGGATTCACTCTGACTCTATTAATGGTAGTCCTACTGATTTCCGCGAATCGGTTCTTGAGAACGAATCGTTTCGCAATTCTTTAACGTCATCAAGTGATCACTGACATCTCGTCGTGGCATATTATAAAGCTAGACTAAACTGTCATACAGTTATTAAGTTGTAAACGTATTTTAACACGTTTTTTATTTGTGAATGTGGACGAATCGTACAGACAGATTCGGTTCAAATGATTCATTTAAAATATTCGACTCAAAATAACTTTTAGTTCATCGCTGTGTTTCCCGAGATATCAAAACAATTGAGTTTGTCAGGCTCATGATCTGCGCATTACAAATGCTGCAGAGAGACATGGCAACAAGATGCAGCTTTATTTCCTACTAAAACAGTGCATTCATTTAAATATCCGAAATGCATTATCAATCTATCCAAAAAATACCTATAAAAGGTTTATGTACAACTTGCTGCTCAAAAGTCCCTTGCAACTTTGTTTTACTATAGTACAGTAACTGTGACAGTGGCTGTCATGAGGCACATATTAAACAATCATTGCACATTTGTTTTCTATCAAAAGAACCACCAAATGGACAAGCAGAAGAGATCAGAGAAATGTTCCTTTATCACCAGAGGTTTCGAAAGACTTGAGGATTAAAACCCCAAGATGACAAATTTTCTCACATGCAGTGTTTACAACAAGACCTGCATCACCTGTTTAACAAACACATCAGGAAAAACCATGCAGACACAAAGCATTTCAGACTTTAGTAATCATTTTATTACACAGTTTTAATCAACACACAAAGCTCAACGAGCCTGTCAGGAAATTAAATATACAGAAGTTTGTCTGTGAGGAGTTTGTGTCCTCTCACCCAGGGACCCAATCGAGTCTGGCTGAACCATGTTAGCATCTAATTCAACAAGAGCAGGAAAATGAAGAAGAAGAAAAAAGCAACCTAAGAGTTACAAGGGTGGTTTGGGGGAGACAGAAGAAAAAACAAAACAAAACAAACAAAAAAAAAAACAATAAGATGCATGTTATAGAGACTGCTTTAAATAACTGGTCCGAAACCCTCCATGTGGTGAATGTCGGTGAAGTTGGTCATGGCTAAGGAAAGGGGTAGAGACAGTCTTTGCAATGACAAATGGAAACAAAATATATATATTCATAGTTTTCAAGTCCATTAGAATACTCCGGAGGAGAGGACAGGTTGTCCATTTTCTTTTAATTAACTGCTATGATTTTAAAAGAATTCCTTATAGATTTTATACAAAAAGATAGCCAGCATACCCCTCCCTTCTCTGCATTAAAGAAATAAAGAAAAAACAACAACTTCCTGATCCAATGTACAGTTGGAAGCCCAGGAAATGGAAATGAAAAAGTATACTGTAAAAAAACATATCCCTCTATGTCCAGACTATCACAAACTGCAGGGAGAAAACAAAATGATAATAATATAGCCCTCCCTTTCCAGTTCTTAAAAACAACAAGGAATGCTTTTAGAGCCATAAACATCTTCTACAGCAAAATTGATATGGACTGATCCTAAGCAGCGGGTACGTCGCAATAGCAACGGAGAAGGTAAAGCAGGAGCTGTGGAGTGGAGGTTTGCATTTGGGGAGGAAAAGGGGCTACAGTTGTAGTTTGAGTATGTACACCATGGCTGCCAGAGGGCTAAGAGTGGGGGGGGTGCTCTGGTGAGGGGAGGCGTGGCTTAAAGAAAGCACTCCAATGGAAACCAACAAGATCTGTTTTTTTCTTAAGCTTTTTTCTTTATCTTTTGAACGTTCAAAATCTCCCCTAACCTTAAGATGGAGAGCTGTAATTTTCTCCCATCATGATTCTAACTCCAAAACTACATCGCATACTTTTGTGTCCATTCCCGAGCTATTCTGTTGTACCTGTGAAGGAAGAGAAATAAAAACATTACCATCGTATGTCAGAAAGGCATCTGCATGACACATACGCTCTTAAAAATAAAAACTCCAAAAGCAAATAAAAGAACCATTTTGGTTCCCCAAAGAACCTTTCAGTGAACAATTATTAAAATAACTATTATTTTCCTAGTGTGAAGATTTTAAATATCTAAATCTTTTTTCACTACATAAAGAACCTTTTGTACAATAGAAGGATTCCAGTAGGGCCTTTCGCACCGCCGGAACTGGGTGCGATTTTAGTACTGGACTGCCTTTTTCGAGAACTAAATTAGCTCCTACTCCGGAGCAGGGTCTAACCAGCACAACTGGTACTAATCGTGACGTAAGTAGACATTGATTGGCCAAACGCGTACGAAAACGCCCTCATCCGCCATGATTTAAAACGCCGTGTAAACATACTGTAAACATTGTGTCAACTTATTTCACAAGTATGGAGAACAGCGATAGATGGACGGACGCTGAAGTGCAGGCACTTGTAGCAAATGTAGCACTGCCAGTTGTCGTTGGTAGATTCTTAGTCCTCCTTTCCATTCTTTCAATCGCTTTACGTATACGTCGACTTTCCATGTCCATTATTGTGAATGGGGGTGGGTCATATGACCCCGGTATGGGGTGATACCGGGGGTCACATAGCCTATTCCTACATTACTTGAAGCTCCTTGATGGCTAATGTCAAAATCGTAATTGCACAATGTGCAAAATGCTAGACTTCATGTTAAATAGTTTTCATAGGTTAGTACTGAGTCTGCACTCAGTTTGTGATATTCCTCTTACACAGTCTTTTAGAGTAAACAGTAGGAATATGCAACAATACAGTTAGCCCAAGGTTCAATAAATACCTCAGTTTTTTTTAAACACAGTTTTCAGTTTGGTTCTGATGGTTTGGCACAACAGATTTCTTTTTAGGGATTTTAAATGCTATTTAAAAAAAAACTAACTCCACTATACTTTAAGTAAAACTCCAGTACATTGTTGTACACTGTAGAAAGACATGGATTATCACATGTCTACCTTAAATTTATTTTGAGAGAAGTATAATTTTTATAGATTGGCCATTATTTAGTGCTATGAACACGTAATGTCGGTTTCATTCATACTGGATAGATACTAAAGGGTGCCCCTGCGCAGAAAGTCCACATATGCATCACCAAAGAAATAGAGCTCACGACTCGAGGAAATACCATACACCTGTTTCCTCATCTCAGCGCACGACTCACGGACACACAAACAGAGCCAGTTTGGAGAGAAATACAAAAAAACAC